CGACAATATAAAGTTAAATTAAACTACTTACTAGTTAAACTTAAACTAGTTAAACTTAAAGTACACACCTGTGCACAAGACAAGGCCAAATGAGGAAATTACATCTTGTCTTCTTGATATACTGTCCTCAATGATGTTTTATTGTCTCTACATGCAGAAAACCAGATGATCATAAAAAGGATCCACAAACATGAGGGCAACAGTGGTGCAGTGGGTAGAGTGGTCGTCTCCCAACCGGAAGGTTAAAGGTTTGAATCTCGGTGCCTGCAGTACACATGTCGAAGTGTCCTTGGGCAAGACACTGGACCCCCCAAGATGCCCGTGATGGTGGCGCGTATGCATGCCGGGGCCCCTCGGCTCCAAACTAAATTTCATTGTACATGTCATAGTGTTACAATAAAATAAAGCTGCTTCTTCTTTTAGGAATGGTTTGGCCAAGACTGGCCTGGGTGGAAACAAACCCTGGCCATGTTAATGAAGATTTATAATAAAAACCCCAGAGAACTAATTCAATCTATACATTTATTTTAATTATGAACAGGATAGTATATTCATAATGTTTCTTTATGTTCATTGCTAATTTAGAATAACTTGTGATGGTGAAAGATATTATGCACATTAGTTTTGTTAATGCTTGATATAAATTGCACTTCACTCAGGAAGAGCCTTATAATTCTAGAAATTGAAAGGTAGTGAAGTAGATTTGTAACTGAGCTTTCAAAACATCTATCCATGGTGATGTTAAGCTGGACTTTTGACAAATATCAATAGGTTTTTGTTTTATATGCTGAGTTTTAAAAAACGTACTGACTTTTTACCATTTAATGACTTAAATGGTAAAAAGTTAAAATATTTCCTTTTATAAATAATAGTCAAACATGCTCAGTTCCAGACAAAAGATTTGCTGCAAACAGTGCAACTACCAACACTGTATTATGTACTGGATTTTTCCTGCTATGCCTCTGTGATCTCTAGCGTGCACCCAGATCTATATCACACATGTAAACCTACAGTATAGTATGATAGATAAGAACTGGTCGAGACAGTTAAATCAGGCATCTGTCAAAGTTCATGTTCATCCATTCCGAATTAAAACATTGGTCTTTAATTATCATTTCTTTAGCCAGTTTGTAAAAATGTGTTTAATATCCTTACATGTCCTGGAAGGGTGTGTGTGTGTGTGTGTGTGTGTGTGTGATCTCTTGGAGGAAATTCTGCAGAGATGTGCTCCAGCTCAAAACATGTGGCTCCTTACACCCCAAACCATGTAGCCTTACAGAGCACGTCACTCAGTTGTGACTGCAGACAGAGCAAGCGGGATGGGACAGAGCAGGGATTATATGGCAGCCTGGTGTTTCCACTGGGGTCTCCCCTGCTGGGCTACATGGTCTCAGCTCCCTTTGTCTGCTGTTAACTCGTTAAATCCCGCGGAAGGGCCCATTCAAAAATGTGTCACATACCCCGGGGGTGCATTTTGTGTGGAATAATCTTCTGAAAAAGGTTACACAGCATTGTAACTTGTCCCCCCAGCCACCTACCCACCCACCATCACACACACATTGATTTGTTCCTGCACTTTCAGTTATTGTCAACTCCTGAATTCTTGCAAATGCTCTTAACTTCCAGTCCTAGTAGAGTCGATCAACAAATCAACAGCAGCACAACAGTGTTAAAAGGACTCCTTCAGTCATTCTTCACTGACTGTCTTTGCATTTTATATGAGGATATTATATCACTTATTAGTCTGTGGATACACACTGGTATGTCATATTTCACCAGTACAAACCAGGCACTTTAGTTGTCTCCCATGCTGCTGTGTTGAGAATAGTTTACAGCTGACTACATCCCGACTGTGTGTGTATTTGTATTATAGACAGAGATAGAGAGCGCACATGCAGAAAATATTGTGGGTTCACTGGCAGAAAGTGTAATTATACTGCAGTAATGCCCTCCATGATTAATGATGTGGGCCTCTGAAACCAAACCATCAGGCCAATGGCAAATTACTACTATAAAAATAAACCATGATGTGAACAGGTCAGCGAGGCCAGAGCACAAAATGCCTCTTAGTGTGTATTTATACGCAGTGTATGAGCGATTGGGGAACAAGCTCTAGTAACACAATTAGTGTTTGTCCACTGTCAGGAACCAGCTCCATCTGCACCAATGTTACACAGTTCTGTAGTCATACAAGCACTTTGTTAGTATCTGCATTAAGACATTTGTTGAGGCTGATAAAAGTTCAGATATAATAGACAAAGTTGGAGCATCACATCTCTTTGCTTTGCTAGTTTGAGCAATGCCATTAGAGCTGAGAGAGAGAAAGAAACAAACAAAAAGGTCATATGGCCCTTGTTGACTTTGTACAATTATCACTGCTCTGGTAGGAAATGTGGTGAAAATGAATATCAAATGTACATCTGTATGACTTAATGCTTGTAGCAAAAATCATTCTCAGAATTAAGGCCCCTTTGACTAAATATGAAGCACACAACATCCCTGTGACTACACTACTCCATGCAAAACTCCTAGATTGCCTCTTAAGAACTGCAGAATCAAGTTCACGTTCCTTGTCAAACGCTGACTGCTCTGCCCATAACCATTTGATTAATTCTCAACAGCCCCCTCCACCCAACAAGATACCCACACACACACACACACACACACGCCCTTCTCGGATGGAGAGCACTTGACTCGTACCCCAATTGAACTCTTATGCACTCTACTTATAAAAGATAATGCCTTTTTGTAGCAAAACTGCAATGAAGTATTTCATTGAGAGTATGGCCCACCAAGTAGCAGCAATCAGGGATTCTTCTGGTTATGAATCAACATTTGGAGACAACTGGGCTGGTGTCATAAACATAACAACTATGTAATTATTTGTCACTGCACAAATTTTGGTAAATTGGTAAATTTTGTTTTCTGTGTTTTTCACAGAATATTGCCAGAGTTAAACCAGAAATAATCAAATTAAAGAACAGCAAAAGTTTACATTTTTCTTATTTCTAAAATATGTAACAGATTTATAGGGTGAATTATATCATCAGTGACTAATCTCCTACATACACAGAACCAGATGCACATACCGTCCTCAAAATGTTACAGAGGAGTTTACTGACATGTTCACAGGACGTTACAACCTTCAAACATATCAACTTCATTCAAGATAGAAACTGATATATCAGCGTAGAGCTGAAGGTGTTTGAGTTTGAGTATCTGTGTTTTTCTTTTCTGCTGCTGATATCTGCACTCATATCAGGGAATTCCTTCAGTGTAGCATGAAGTCCTGTCTGGACTTCATGCTACACTGATCTTTATCCCAGTTATGACAGTGATCTTTTTCTTTTGTTTCTGATAATTCATTTCTATGGCTTTAAAATGGACCATGTCACCACAGCTTTACATGGCATCTTCATACATTCCCAAATTCCCAAATTACACCCAAATGCTGAATAAAATGAGAAACAAAGTTACCCATCTAGATTTATTCTACATTCAACCTGATCATTAATAACCCATTAAATGCATGGCCCATTGTTTCTTATGACTATGAATGTGAAGTGTGCATGTATCTTATCATCAGTCAGATGAAAGCCTGACAAACGAGCACCATTCCTTTTTAATAACTATAAATCGAAGCATGCACATGGTCGTCTCACTGAGGCAGAAATAATCAAAAGCAGAGAGTGAGATGGCCAAACATCATGTCTAATATCCCAACAAACTGGGGATCAGCTGTTTCCAATTAGGATTACAAAGACATCTGAAAAACAGAATGAACCCATTCACCCTGTCTCCCTTTGCACACATAGAAAATCATATTTTACAAGGCATGTTTGCTGTTGTTACATCTTTTTACAGGTCTCTCTTTGTTCTATTTCTACCTTTTAAATAGAGTCTAAGAAAATGCTTGCACTTGCACAAAGCCTTATGCATCGTAGCCCATGACAGCTTTCATTTCCCACTTCTTTCATTGCTCTTTAATCCAGTCACATCAGCTCCCTGAGCAGGTGAAGTCAGCAAGAGACTTTCCCACGGTCTGAGAGCAAATCCAACGCCCCGAGCCCTTCCTGAGGGCCGGCCATCTGTCCGTTCTGTTTGGAGTGTGTTGGGGGGTAAAGCGTCAGCTGCATGACCAAATTCAACGTTCCAACACACCCCTCCTTCACGAAGAAAAGCCCAAAGCATCCATTCAGCTCAACACACACACACACACACACACACACACACACACACAGCTTGTGCCCAAACACAAACAAATCAACAAACAAACAGACAGATGTGACTCTTCACATTCAAGAACATTACAGTCCAAAACCCTCACACACAATTTGTTATTGTAACAATTATACACAGTTTGCTACAACTGATCTGTTAAACCTGCCTATAAATATTATTCCAGGTTAAAGGTTTCTGCTTATTAAAAGCAATAAATGTAAAAAGTGTTCAATGCATAGTTTCCATTCCTTCTTTCCTCTTTTTATGCTTATTGCTTTTTGGGGAGAGATACCTCTGCCTCTCAACAAAGGAGTTCTCCACATAAACCTTGACCTTTGCTCCCTCAGTGAATAAATCATTTGAGCCACTGATTTCTACAGAACAATACAATTTCACCACAAAAAGCATCTCAAAATGTAGTTGCGGCAAATTTAAGAAGATCAATGCAGTGTCCCAAAACACATCTTACTGTGAATTTGGATTTGCCACGATCATGTGATGCGTTTCTTTCTATCTGAAGCACATGCCGCCGCCCCCATCCCAAAGCGTCCCCCCTACTCTTTTTTTCCCTCCTTAAACTGACGTGCTATCATTTTATTTCCCTCTCAAAGAACGACCCTGCTGCTGGTGGATATGGTCCTCGCCCCGGCCTGACGCATTTTTAAGATGCGTGACATTGCCTCTGTGGGAGCATGAGAACGGAGCTTCCTCAATAGTAGGGTCCCCATACCCGGCCCGTAACCATGGAAGCAGATGCCTGCCCTCCCGGCCCTCCTTACCTCCTGTCGATCGCGGGCTGTGAGCTGCTTCGGCACTGAAAAGAGGCTATGCCTGCCTTTCTCCTCGCTCTGACCGAACTTGCCCCACTCCTCAAAAGGAGCCATTGAACAGGTCACTGGTCTAGACTTGTTTGCACGGTCCAGAGAGCAGCCTTGATGTAACCCTTGCTCTCCTCTCTCTCTTTCTCTCTCTGCCTGCCACACCAGCCGCCCAGCGACTGCAGACTGTGGAGGGGTGGCGGGGGGGACGTTGGAGACGTGGATTTGAAAAGGGGCCCGTCCGATTTTGCCATTGTGCCTTTTCATTCATCGATCGAATGAATATCGAACCTTCTGTCCCTGCATGTGTGAAACGGATAGCTTAGCAAGCATTTTTTTCCTGTCTCTTCTCAGGTCTGTGTTGCGGCCCAGAGATGTGATTTTATTTTTATTTTAAACATTTTTTCTCTTTAACAGTACCTGCAAAGATTAATTTTGATGTGGCTATTAATATAAGTGATTACTGCAGAAATGAGGTTCCATAGACTTCATCGCTCTTCCCTGAATTCTCTAATGTACATTTGTGAAGTTCTCTTCTCTGATTAAACCAACCTCTACATGTGTGCAAAAACGGCAAGAAATCTACAACAGCAGCTTTTTTGATAACTATAATAAATCAAGAAATGAGCAACTGTCATCAGAGGCGTGAACCGGTGTTTATGTTTAACTGTTACACTGTTAATCTGTTACAGTCCTGAAATAAATCTAAACCATAACTAAATATTTCTAGGGAGACAGAAAATGTAAAATAGATCAACTTAAAGTGAAGCTTGATAACTAAAAGCTGCAGTTTGTGGTAGAAGGTTCTTATTTTCCCACAATTTCAAAAACTGAAAATTAAAATTAATGCATAAATTACTGAAATGTCTGACCCAAAAAACATTTTTAACAGCAAGTTAAATACAGTCATTATTTCAGGGCAGCTAAAATTATGTTTATAATAACATAAAGCATGTGTGTTTACATATTGACCTCTTTCAGTAAATGGTTATGTGTGAGAATAGGTGTGTCTGACAAGGCAGCAGAGAGACAGAGCGAGTGCTTCGATGACAGCTTTAGTAAAAGGTGAGACGATCAATGTCAACATATCAATACTGTTCAATCAGGAACGAGGCCATGGATAAGGTGATTATTTGTCTTCAGTCTGATTTATAAAGCAAAACTCTTTTTGTTGTTTAATTGACACATGGTTTTATTGCCACACACTCGTTTCAAAAAAGAAAAAAATATTCATCCCTCGTATGTGTTCATGACTTCCTGCATACAATACATTTTGTAAATGTACAGAATTTAATTAATAAATTCCCACAAATTAGGCTGACTTCTATCTATGTATTTTTACTATTTTGACAAAAAAAAGGTTAATGATCTAATGCATTAGAGCAGCCAGATGTTTGTAATCAGATTTCAAACGTGTCTAGTTGTATAATGAGAGATAAATAGAAAGCACATAATCAAATGAGGTGAAAAACCAATTGTAAAGGTTATAAACGTACAAGTACTGCTTATTATCAAATGTGGAAAGCAAAGGCTGTAGTGAGGGGCAGTGATAACGTCCATGCTCCGTGTGACAAGCTGCTGAGGCCAACCAAAGGGGCAGAAAGGAGAACAAAACAGGGCAGAAAATGAGCAAATTCAAAGGCAGAGGAAAGAAAGCAAAGGAACCAGTGAAGTAAGAAGGCAAAGGCATTGTGCTCGCACAACAATCAAGGCTGCTCTCACAGCGAGTACCAGACCTGCCTCCGAAAATATTGCTATGACCACAACCCACATCCAAACAGCACAAACCCCAAAGCCTACAGCAGGAGGTCTGCGACCGGTTCAAGAAGATGTGGCTTGCTGTGAAAATAAATGTTGTAATTAAACAGACAAAAAACATAAAAATGTAACATAATCACAGTGGATTTTATGAGATTTAGATCCAGTAAGCCTGTGTCAAAAACATCCTGACAGCACACATATTTCTGACAAATGCTGATGTAAATAACACTAATGGCTGCTGAATACCTCCATCAGTACTGCCAGAAAATTCATGAAACTGTATTTTTCTTATCATTTTATATGCCAATTTGAACAACAAACACTGTAACATAAATTTTAAAAAGTTAACATTTTAAAAAGTAAAAAAATATATTGCATAAGATGTGATTATTTAACAATATGCTGCAGGATATGTTTCTTATTACCATTGCTAACCCTGAGAGACGAGACAGTCCAAGTAACTACAAAACAGTGCTGATTTATTCAAAGGATCACAGGTAAAATTAACATTACACACTCAGGTATCTTGCACCTCCAAACTGCTCTCAGGCAGATGTAAGATGAAAGACCCTGACCCCACCAGGCCTATACATTATATCCCCTCGGTTGGGCTAGCCCCATACTACACAGAAACGTCAACCGAGACGTCTCTGTTACCAGCTTTGCAGCTGGTCATAGCAGTAGTCAAAACATGAAGCAAATCAATGTGTGTGTGTATGTGTGTTCTGTTGATTAAGTGGTGTGTAGCTAAAAACATTCTCACGACCTCTAGTACATGTCGTGATATTAAACATAAGAACATATTATGGCTAAGGCTACAGTTATACACGTCATAATAATAATATTAAACACCCTGTCTGCTGACAGTCATCAACTCTTCTCTCTAGTTATCCTTGACCAGATGTACCCTGTAGAAACTCATAAGCATGACTAAGCATTTAACAGTCTAACTAGACATCCTATCTCCACTAAACATTTCTAATACATAAAGTATCTATCCAGTTTCTATCTGACTAAAAATACCTAACAATGCTTTTATTGCAGTGTCTTTTGCTTACAAGCAAATATCCACAAATTAAAACAGGAGTAGAAACTAAAATCCCCCAAATAATACAAGGCATGGTTCATCCTTTAGGTCAAAATAAAAACAGACCTGTGATATTATAACAACACAAGTGGCATGTTGAAAACAGAGCTGGCTGAACAATGGCGGAGATGGGGGGTGAGAGGGCGGGTTGCAGGTGGGGGGTCTCAACTGAACCAGTGTGCAGTACACTGACAGCGACGGGCCGGCCAGACTGGCTACAAAGACACGCTCAACACCCATGTCTCATATTACACAGCAGCACAGAGCAGTGTTTTACTGAGATACAAAATCAAATGATGTGCTACATCAGGAAATAAAATACAATAGAGAGGTGGGTTTTGAATATATTTCCAGTTGTAGCTAAAATCATTTTTATGCTCTTTAAACCAATTCCAATTGTGCTTATTTCAATGTTTCCTGGAATACCACATGGTAAAATAAATACAGAAATCTTTTATTTCTTTTGAAGATGCTTTTTTTTCCCAATTATCTTAGAATACCCCTGAGCACCACGGAAACCTGGATCAGCAAGTCAGACTCATCTGCTGCGTAACACTGTCACAATCACATTGTGGTTGTGACTTAATGACAAGTAGAGCAAAAATCTATTAAAAGATAACAGAGAACAGTGTGAGATTTCTTTGCACCACTCGCTGTCTCAGCACCACACACACCCAGACACACACACACACATATGAACAGCAGGTTTGGCAGATGTTCCCTGGGACATACAAGCAAACCAGCATCTCATCATCATCGTCATCCTGCCTGGAAACAGCAGCAGCAGAAAAAAAAAACTCTGACTGCCGCAAAGACACAGCTCAGAGTCAGCAGCACACGCACATTATTACAATGCAGTGAAGCAAACCAAACACAACAGAGAGTTGGCCAAGGATGAGAAGCTGCGGCTCCCACTCTCTGATTTCAGATTTTATTTCCCTTATCTCTGAACTGATCCTTTCCCGGTTTCCTGACTGTGTAGCCAGCAGTGACTACTTTTTACATGCAATGTATGTGAAGTTCTCATTTTAATGTTAGCTGAGTATAGGACAAGACATAGGCACTAACAGTGTGACTGACATGAGTATAATAATTCACAAAGGTTACACCAAAGACAGCCGTTACATTTCTGGCAATGTTTAATATGTATTATGTTTAAACAAAATTAAGAATGCAGTTATTATACCTGTGTGTCACTGACAACAAACCAGTTTAACACTTCTACTAACCTCCTTGACACACAAAAGCTGTGAGTTAAACTAACTTAGACACCATTAGTCATGATCTGTTGTCCATGTTCCCCCTCCCTCAGGTCAAGCCCATAGGCTGCGGCACAAAGCACACAGGGCAGCACAGTCTGCTAAACCCCCTGCAGTCAGCCCTGCTCAAATTCCACAATAATAACCAGATGCTAAACATCTTCACTACATTATCTCTACTGTTTCCCTCCATTTGGATTCTGTTAAAAATCCTCACCTTTTAATCACAACAATGAAAACATAATGAAATAGATCTGTTCTGGCTGATGACTGTGCACATGAAAGATCATCTTAAGAAAAGACTCATTTGTGAGATGAAAAACAACGTTGAACACCCCTGTAGATCAAACACAGTGTGAAGAGCTATGATCAGTGTGTACCTGTATCTGTCAGGCACGCCCATTGCTGTCACCACAGTCAAACATTAGGCTTTTGGAGGTGCTTTAGAAGGTGAATTGGAACAAAGGGCCCCTCAACATATCACTACTCAAAGCACTGTTTAATTAGGTGTAGAGCAACAAATCCTCCCTATTCAGTGGCCGGACACTTGTGGTGTTGGAGTGGAGTGTATCGTCGGTGAAAGAGTCCCGTCATAACACTAGAGGAGTGTCCCCTCCCTCACAAAGACACACACTGATTCACTAATGCCTGTGTGTTAACAAGCCCATCGTCTGCTTCTCTAACTCATTGTCTCTTGAATGGGTGCTAATAGAGAGACAAAACAGCACACACACGCACACAGGCCCTCCTGCAATGCGCTGCTCTTTTTATAGACCGAGACTAGACACGTGTGTTTGTGAGCTGCAGGACAACGTACCATGCCTCAGCTTATTGTGACTGAATTTAATGTGGAACACTGAAAATGTAACAAAATAGCCAACAGAAAAATAGCAAAGACAAACCTTTAAATACAATGAAAATATAAATAAAATTCCAAAACAATTTTATCAAGGCAAATTTAGCAGGAAAAAATTAATACAATGTTTAATATTATTATATATAATCAATTTTAAATTAAAAATGTAAAACATTTTTAATTTAAAATGTTGCTATAATTCATGTAGGAGCAGGCCCTGAAACAAATCTGCCTTTTTGAAATCTTCTAATTTTTAAACAATATTTTGCTATTTAATTAAATTAAAATGAAATAAAATGAAATAAATCATTTTTGCACTTTTTATTTACTTCATTATATTTTATACTTTTAATTTAGTCAAATGTTTGGATCATTAAAATAGGCCTAAGTGCAGAGATAATTCTGAAATACAAATGGAAGAAATTTGTTACTAAATTAATTTAACTCTACAGGCACAGTTTGCTGACTATCTAGATATATAAAAGACAAATAAATAACTTTGACTAGGGATGAATATGGGTGGTGGGCTCTAATCCTGAAGGACAAAACCAGCATATCCACCGAGACAAATCTTGTTTGATGGATCCCTGCTGCTAGACCCAACCGCAA